CACACATGAAACTCAATATGTCACATCCTAACAAGCCATATAAATACATTTTATTGAATCCCTTCACAGTAATGCTTTAACCTATATTCTAATTTTAGGGACAAAAATCGTCTCAGAATAATTAAGTAACTTGCTTAGGGTCTTGTAGCTAAGTAAGTATGGAAATTCACTCAAATTCATGCTGACGTGACTGAAAAGACTGTACTCTTTGTACTACATTGTTCTGTATTCCATTCCATTTAATCCTCTTATTAACACACACATAAAATAAGTATAGATGGTAATTCTACCTCATTTTTTTTCTCTTGGGAATAAACAAAGGTCAAATATTTTAAATAACTGGTCCAATGTCATCAACCAAATGGCAGGGGTAGAATTTGAATCTGGATGTTCTGATGATGACTGTGTTCTTTTTCTATTTCAACACAAGTGATTTATAACATATATAACATATGCTGGGGGAGATCAAGTGTTCCAAGTCAAAGCAAACAAGGGGAGATACAAGAAAGATATATATTAATGAGGAAGGTGAACCTAAATACTGTTTTCTTAAATTTAAAGAAATAACATAAACTGCCAGCTATTAAAAGCTTTTGGGAGCAAAGATTTTGTTATAGCATTAGAGGTTTATCTGGGGCAAAAAATGCAAACCATATGACATTCCACAAAATGTTTTTCATAAAGGAAAAAGAGAAGCTGTTATTTCACTGAGCTGTTGTCATGGTTACCTAAAACCCATGACTCTCTGCTGAAATGTGACTTTTTTTTTTTCCAACTGTTTGCTTCCATGTGATGTGCTTTTCACCTGATGAGTGAATTCCCTGGTCACAATTCGCTCATGTCTATCAGCTAGGAAATGTTTTTCGTCTTTGTTTCAGTTCATCATGACACCTATTCCTGATACCCCTTTTATTTTTATGGCTAGCTTATCTGTTGGTTGCATGACATTAGATCTAATTATGTTGAGCAGGGGTAGTTTGTACTTAAATGTTAAGCAACCCTCCACCTCCAAATATAATGAACTATTTTAATTGATGACAAACATGGCCTCTACTTTAAAAGCTTTGGTCATTAAACAAATAAATGAGCAAACAAACAACAGACATGAATTAGGAACACAATATTTCCAAATAAATTAGTTACCTGATTTTAACATATTTAATAGAAAACTCTGACCAATAAATGTTAATTTCATTTAATTCACACTCAGCTATGTTGCAACTTGCTTCATCTTCTTTCTTGTATTCTTACTTTGCATGCACACACACACATACATATGGAACTACCAGAGAGAACTACACAAAATATCTTATACCCAAATTTAAGTAAGTGGCTACTGTTGACATTGTTGTATCCTAGGTATTGGGAATCCAATGCTGTAAAAAACTGCAGTGAACGGTCCTAGAAATCTACCCATGCAGAGTTTAATATTTGATCTATGCTAGCACTGGAGCTAACATTTCTTTGATGTTAAATTTTGTTAAATTCAGCATGTATTTATAAAGCCTGTTACATGTATATATTATAGTCCTGTGTTCTGTGGATACAAAAATATTTAGAAATGATCTCTACCTTGGAGGAGCTGACAGGCTGGTAGATACAGACAGGCTTGAAAACCATTGCATGTAATGAAAAGTTACAAGTGCTATGATACAAATCTGTATAAAGTACAATGATAGCACAAAGGGGAGAGGGTCGGTCAGCTCTACTAGAGTAACAGAGGTGGATCAGTAAAAGTCTCAGAATATTTTCATTATGATATAAATTAAAAGGGTTACATCACTGTGTCTGCCTATGTTGTCTCGGGCAGGAGAATTTTAAGGGAGTCAAAGTGTTTACATGTCAAATTATACATCTAGAAATTAGCGAGTTACTTGAACCCTTCTGAACCTAAATGGATCCTTATAAATAAGAAATAACACTGTTGACTTAAAAAGCACTGTAGTCAGAGCCACTCGGTTTTAGTCCTCAGATGTGTGACTTTGGACAATCATCCTACCATTTTAGACTTTTCTATAGTTTTTTAATAAAATGCAGACGCTACCCTAAATACCACTGAAGATCTCTCAGCTCAGAGTTAATAAATGCTATCAAATCTCTAAAATCTCAATTTTGGGGTCAAGTAAAATGATGTCTGAAACCAATAAAAAAAAAAAAGGGCTTTATGTGAAAGGTGAATCAGCATAGCTAATTTGGAAGGTCTTAATTAACTCAATCTAGAAAGTTTTTGATCTCATCTCACACAAAATAGTCTAGTTCTTAATTTAAGCATTCAATTTGGGCAAAGGCATTCAAATTAATGGTGTGTTTATTACAGAACCTGCATTTTTGTAAAGCGAAAGTAAAGAGATACCAAAACAATCTCCATATTCATTAACTCAATGATTCTCAGTGCTGACTGCACATTAGAATCACAAAATGAGGGTTTAAAAGTGCAAACACTTGAAGGCCCGGCATGATGGCTCAGGCCTGTAATCTCAGCACTTTGGGAGTCTGAGGCGGCAGATCACTTGAGGTCAAGAGTTAAAGACCAGCCAGGCCAACAGGGTGAAACCCCATCTCTACTAAAAGTACACAAAATTAGCTGAGCCTGGCGGTGGATCCCTGTAGTCCCAGCTACTAGGGAGACTGAGGCAGAAGAATCACTTGAACCTGGGAAGTGGAGGTTGCAGCGTGCGGGGATCGCGCCACTGCCAAAACAAAAACAAAACAAAAACAAAAACAAAACAAACACATCCGGACACTTTTACACTTTTACAACCTCACGGAAGACCACCTGAATCTGAATTTCTGGCAAGAAATTAGGTGCTTAAAAATGTTGCAACAGTTTTTATTTTTTATTTTTAATGGTTTTTTGGAAGCTTCCTAGGTGATTTTGACATTGAAAACTCTGAATTAAATCAATGTAAGCAATCAATCTTAACTTTTATAAGGACTTTGTAACCAGAGAGGCTGTGTGAAGGAGTGGAAACAGCCAATGTGAGTGGGGTTTGACTGTCACCTCGGCCACTAATAATCTCTTGACACTACTAAAACACAGTAGGTGAGCAGCAAATGTTCATTCATTTCACCTTTCTTAAACTGTGATTTCCTTGTTTCTCATCAATCATCTTCCTTCCACTCTGTTTTCTAATTTTATTTTTGAAACTTGTTTCTACACAGAAATTTAATCATAGAACAAGGTTGAAGTTGATAATTGTAGCAATTTCAGTTCAGGGCTTACCTACTTGACACATTTTTTTTCTAGAAAGTATTAAAATTGAACACATTCATGAAAAGAAAAAGGAAAAAGTTCCACTTGACAATAAGTAATTAGGAAAACAATACGCATATAGCCGTGGATATCATCTCGTATTACACATCTCATGTAATTAAAAATCAATGTGTATCTATTAAGCTTTCCTGTGGATGTTGCAGCTTATTTTAGTAATTTAGACAGTCCTCCAACCTTTCTGGGTCAAGTTAAGCCACATAGTTAAACAAAGCATAACAACTGACTGAAAATCCCATGTCCAATCCTGGCAGTTTTTTTAAACAGGAACACAGGATATGAGAGCTAGATGAGAATTTGCACATTATAGATTAAGGTAGGAGGTCTGAAAGCTCATTGAAATAGATTTTTTTTCCAAGCACATTTTTCTAGCCTTTCCTGCATAAAACCCATTACGTTTGGTAAATAGCTGACTAATAACACCAAAAATTATACAGTGGCCATTTTTTTAATGAACTTCAATAGACTTCACTGGGATGGGGTACAAACTTGGTTCAGTGGAGAATGCGATCTACATTTCAAAACTGCAGATTTTGAGAAATTGAGTGCAAGATTCTTCTCATCCCATTCACACGTTGGGCTTAATTTCATAGAGCATTGCTAGTCAAAAGTGCTGTATTAGAAAGTTTTGGAAGACAGACAGAAGAGCTTTCCTTTAACATATGGTTTTAAATGATAAATAATTAAACACATATTTCTTTGGTTACCATTTGCCCCTAATTCAAAATGAAAAATTCAGAATAGATGAAATAGAAATTCAATTCCAAATAGTAATCCTTCATATTTTATCTAAAGTTTTCAAGGACTGAGAAAGAAAGCTAACTTCTAATGCAGCCTAAAGAAAAAGTGGGAAATGAACCAGATCCTTTAGCTAAAGATATCACAGCAGTTACATCCTTGGAAATGGGATACAGTGGTCATATAGCCAGATTATTAGAGAATAAATGGTTTTTTTTTTTTTTTTGCTTCTTATTAGCTGTATGATCTTATGCAAGTTACCTGATACCTTTATAACCTCTAAAATAGGGAAAGATTGATAAGAGCATGAAATGAACGAATGCACAAAAACATTTGCCACAGGGTTTACACATGCTAGATGTTCAATGAATATTAGCCATCTTCATTATTTACCTGTTTAAGCCTCGGGATCTTCATACTTTCAAAAATGAAGATCTAATCCAATAATTATTTCCCAAACATTCCTGATTAAAAGAATCAACATAGACACTTAGTAAATTGTGCCTTCTCAGGACTATCTCCTGAAGATTCTGACCAATGAATCTGGGATAGGGCCAGGAATTTGCATTTTTAATTTGTACACCATATGAATCCTGTTGTAATAATTTTATTTTTCAGAAACATTAGTGTATATCATTTTTTTAATCAAATATGCATTCATTCATTCATTTATTCAATTCACAAAATACATAATATGCTATTGCCATTTCTAAAGGCACCATACCATGTTCTGGGAAATACAATAATGAATCAAGTACTCTGTTCATTGCAGTTTAGAAACCTAGTAGAAGTCGTTAGACAAATAATTACAGAAATATCTATAGTGTGCTATAAAGGAAAAATACAAGGTACACAGTTCTTAACATGGCATCATTTCTATTCTTGGTGGGGGCTGCAGTGGGGTGTTCAGAAGAGAAGTTTATATACTGCCTGAAGAAGTGATTGTTAAGGTTCCTCCCTGCTCTGACATCATACATCCAGCACATCTTACCTGCCAAGAGGAGAAGAATGATGCTGGGCTGAGTAGGTTAGGATTTGTGGGGTGCTGACCTCCCATGTACTCATCTGTGCAAATGTCACACTTTTCTGCATCCCGCCAGTCCCAATATGGAATAGTGAAGTTTTCATCTCCTGTCAGCTTCTGGATTTCTTGTTCCCACAGCAACAAGAAGAGTCTATGCCAAGGCAGAAAAGCTGGTGCTTCATGGGCAAAATCAATGTCTCTCCAGATTTCAGATCCCCCAAGCAGTGCATCCATTGACACATAATAATGGATCCAGACAAAGAGGTCATAAATGTTGATATCACTAAACATGGGTGTTGACCCATTTTTCATTTGGCCGTAGGTCCCTATGGGGATGACATAGTCTGAGCTGATGGTATGCTTTGCTAAAGTGAGGTAGGCAAAAAATTTGTCCTTCTCTGTGGCACTCAAATCAAAGATGTTTCTTCTCACCAAGAGTCGTCTGTCTGTGCAGTTTGGTCCCCAAAAGCCAAACTTGCAGTTTCCACAGTCGAATCCCATGAAGTTGCCAGAGCACTGGCAGGTCCTATTATAAAAGATGGAAGGCCACGACTCCCGGTCATCCACCCCTGTGAAGGGAAATTGAGGCCCAAGTGGTGCATTGGACAGAAGGATATTCTGACAGGAACCTCTGCCTGAAAGTTGGCCACAGGGACTCCCGTCCCCACTCCATGGTGGGCAGCATTCCTTTTCCATCAGGTTCTTAGAGGAGACACAGGCTCGAGGGAAATGTCCAGCGGAGGTCTGGAAACTCCACAGCAGGCAGTACAAAACAGCCAGGATCATTCTTCCTCTAGTCCTCACAAGGTCTGCTGAAACTGGCTAATTGGAGTCACAGACTTCTCTTTCCAGCTACTCCTACAGTGATTATCACATGTCTTGGCTGAGACCTATATAATACCACTCCCACCTCCAGCATCAAACACTTTTAGTCTTTATCTTAAGCTTTCATCCTCTGAAAAGCACATGACTGACTTTTCTTTGGAATTGGCTCATATCCCACCAGTGGGATAGGTCTATGTTAAAGTGAAAAACTCTATTCACCATTAATAGTTTAATTCTTATGGTTAGAATATTAACAATAAGATTAATAATAATAATGCCTGACCTAAGCAAACCCAGTTAATAGACTACAAAATTAATGATAATTTGAACTTGCAGATGAGAGGTAGTGTCAGGAATAGAGCTTCTCTTATTAACAAAGTTTAGGAAGTATTAAAGATTATGGGTTTTAGCTGGTTATTTCTCAGAGACCGTAAACAGGCTACAATATTTGAAGAACTCCATATGCAGAGAGAGATTGTCTTCAGAGTCCAGAGATAATTCCTTATATGTTATTGAATTTCAGTTCATTTATTTTATACAAAGGATCAGAAAAAAATCTTACACTTTTACCTGATAATCCTGATGCATTTTCTGACAACTCCTAAGGATAGCTCACTTTGATAGCTGGTTGATTTGCTTCATTGTGGGGATATCCCATGGCAAAGAGCGCGCGTTCTCTCTCTCTGCTTCTCTCTCTCTGCATCTCTCTCTCTCTCTGCATCTCTCTCTCTCTCTCTGCATCTCTCTCTCTCTCCAATGCTGTAGACATGTTGTTTTTCCTATAAATTCTAGAAATTAGGAATTTATTTGAAAATGTTTTTGCAATGTGTTTTGTGCAAAGAAATTCTCAATTAGTGAGTGAATGAAAAAGGAGAAATATATTTCTTCGCAAATATTTTTTGGTCATCTCAATTATTTCAAAAGTTCCTTCTCTGTGTATAGTGAGCTAGGGAAACTGAAATTCATGGCTAAAAAATATAATTTAACTATGTTAGTTTTCAAATGAGTAGTATAGATAATAAGTAAATCAAACTTTTAATGGAAGAGATGTATTTGTGGGCTGATACTAGAAAGAATTGCATAATTTTGGATAATATGCAAGTGTTATCAAGGCAGTGCCCTTGATTAATACCTCAAGGAGTGGGCATAAGTTGGACAGACAATTCAGAATAGATACAACACCTGAGACAGGGGAAACGTGTAGAGATGGGAACTGTGTTTCATCTGTCGAGTTGGAGTATTACACTCAGATAGGCCTCCACACATCATAGAAAATTAAACCTGGGGCCAATACATGGAGGGGCTTAAAGACTTAGTGGTTTGAACTAAAGTGAGCCCTTTTGTGAGCTGAAGAGTGACAAAATGAGGGTAGTCAAATCAAAGTTGCCCCTCTGAAGCTTCCTTCTTTGTCCTCCTCCAAACTTAAAGCTGGGTGGTCCACTGAAATTAATGAAAAAGGAAAAGAGGAGATCATTAGTGTTTGGGTCCTTAGCTGAAGCATTCTAGGAAAAGCTGTCACAATTTTGATGATGCCAGAGTGTCAGACTGTTCTGCTTTTTTCTCTTTTTGCTGGAGTTTTCCTCATTATTTAAAGAAAAAAAAAAAAAAAGAAAAAAGTCACAGCTCCTCCAAACAACTTTTTTGAGACAGAGCAGGCTTTGCAGGTACATGGAGCAGTGTGTGGGTGAAGAGGAAGAGAAGTTTCCATGGAAATGCTGCCTCTGGCTGGGATCAGGAAGTCATCACATGATCTCCACAAGGAGGCTTAAGCTTTTCTCTCTTTCTTTCAGAGCCACAAAGAGATTAACACAAGACTTCTTGTCCCTGGGGAGCCTTGGTTCTGCATTACTTGTAACCACATGTGGCATTTCATAATTCTTTTCTATATACTCGCAGACAGAATTCAACTTCTCATGTTCAATTTAATTAAGAATTTTGCCTTACACTTGCCCCACTATCAGGCTTCCAGTGAAATAACTTAGAAAGTCTTCATCATGCTCTTTAAGGGCTTTTGTGTCTGCTGTCCTGTCTATTTTTCATAATCTGTAGAGCCTGCTTAGAGGAATTACTAAAATGTACTTTGTCCTATTAATTTCCTTTACAGGGTTGATGTTCTTAAATAGACCTCTTTATTTGTCCCCAGTATAGACCACTGTCTCCTCTGGCCTACATGTGTTGTAGTCTTCAGTCTTATTGCCAATCTTGGGTTCCTAAATATTAAATTCCATTTAGAGTGCTTTCTTCCTGACTCTAGATGTGCATTCTTTAGATATCTTCAGGTTGTAGGATTTGAAAGGGTCTTATCCTATTTTGGGAGATTATTGTATGACTTGACATGAAATTAGTGCAATGTCCTATAAAGTAGAATTAGGGGTTCAGTAAATACTCTTCAAGTATTTACTGAGCACCAACTATCAGACGTGGGGAGAGATGGGAATGCTATGGTAAGCACAACAAAAATCTCTATCACCATGAAGGATATTGTCTCTTAAAATACTATTTTAATTTTAGTAATTTGAAATAATATTTTAACTACATGTACTTTAAATAACTTTTTTTCTGGATTAAATTACTTTTTAAGTTGCTATAAGAGAAAATTAGAAATTAGGGAACAGACAGAAGGACCTTTCTAGTCTCACGAGAGAAGGGATAGTCAGGGATAATTTTATGGGAAAAGTGACATTTCAAGTGACACTTGAGGGATCAGTAGAAGTCTGTTTGATGAAGGGGAGAAAAGCAGGAGTGTGAGCTTTCCAGGTAGAGAGAATAGTATGTTCAAAGTCTCCGAAGTGGAAGTAGGTTGGTATATTCAAGGGATTTAAGGACAGTTAAGGTGGCTGCAATCCCCAAAATGGTAGAGGTGTGATATAAGTATGAAGGTGCATGTATTGACCAGCTCATAGTCCATAAAGGCTTTGCAGCAAAATTTTGGATAATCATACATTAATTTAAAACTTGTCACTCAAGCTACTGAGGTGAGAACAGATGTGGGGTAGGGAGCTAGACTAAATGTAGAAATAACTGTTAGGAGATTATTGATATAAACCAGGCAAAAATGACATTGCTTAGACTAGAGTAATGATCTCTGAGATGGAGATAAGTTAATGAATTTGAGAGATATGTAGGTGATAAATTCAAGAGCAGTAAGAAGCAAAGGGAAAGAAGATTTAGGGCTATATGCTAGGATTTTGGCTTGTGCCATTAACTAAAATAAGAAACAATAGAGGATAAATGTTTGTGGGAATTGAATATGGGCTCAATTTTAGATATGTTGAGTTTGAGTATAAACTAGCCACAATCACTGGTCCTCTTTTTCTGGTATTTGTATTGATTATTCACCCACTCACTGGTGTTAACCTGGTCGATCTTCCTCTTTTTCCTCACTCAGATCACTGGTATTTGCTCTTCTATTTGGTAGTAGTTTGAATCCATTTTCTGTCTTTGTTTCTCAGCCCTCCTTTCAATTACAATAGTAGCTACCATTTATTAAATACAACTAATATAATTATCTCAATATCAAGAGCTACCATTTAAAGAAACAAATTTACTATGGAAATAAATATGCTGAAATCAGTAAAAAAATAATATAACAAACTAGCATTTACTTACCTCCAAGTTTCAACATCCAGTATTTTTCTGCTTGTTTTGTTTCTATTAGTTTAAAAATTCTGGAATATTTTAAAACAAAACTCAGATAACATATTCTACCTCTAATTTAGGTATATATAGCTAACAGGAACATAACAAAACCATATATCTGATGCATAAAATACATCTCAAACAAAAAGAGAACAATAATTCTTTAATATCTGGTTTCAAATTTATGGTTAATTTAATTATCTCAAAAGTATTTTTGTCAAGATTCAAACAGGTATATACCTTGCATTTTGGTTGATCTAATTTATCAGTTTCTATTAATCTGTAAGTGTCCTTTTTTAAAAAAAATGCAATTTATTTTTAGAGCAAACTGAGTTTTTGCCCTACAGAATTTCTCACATTTCAGGGTTAACATTTCAGGGTTAAATTTATCTCTATGAATTTAACATGCTCATTATACTGTATTTTCTATCATTTTATACATTATCAATAATAATATCTTGCATTTTGTACAATTGGAATTAGATCTAGAGATTTTATTATATACAGGTTGAATTTTGTTATTGCTTTTGTTAACAATTACTTCACAGGCATTGTTATGTACTACCTACTTTGATTTACTAGAGAACATATTATCTGGTTTTCTCAGTATTTGTTTTTAAAATTGATCAGCAGCTTGAAGTGAGGTCAGACTGTCCTTTCAATTACATAACTCTTTAACAAATTTTTATATGGTTTTATTTTCACTGATAATTATATCCTACGTTTGGTATTTTATTAAAGCTTGCAAGAAAGGTTATTTTTTTTTGTAAAGAATAACTTTCCTCATTAACTATTTTGTTACCCTGTACAAGAAAAGTGGAATAAATGTTTGATTCTTGTCCTTCATTTTTCAATTTTCAGAATAACAATGTGGCTCCCTAACAACCTCTAAACGTGATATATTTTTAACTATCGTGAAGACTTCTAAAGTTTTATGTATTTAGTACCTTTCTTTTGGGAGAGAAATTGTTGCATCTTTGTTCAATATTTTGCTAATAAGTGGATATTAGTCAGCCTACATTGTGATTTGTTGGTCAATGATCATCATGATTATGTTTGTGTGTGCATATGTGGAGTTCAAGAAAAAATATGTAGCCATCAACTCTTTATATTTGAAGTTTAGACTCATTTGTTTGTTCAATAGATATTGAACATCTATTATTCCTAAGATCTTATAGTAAATACCTAGGGCATAAACAAATTGTATAAGTCACCAACCTTTAATTTGATGTTACGAAGTCAGAATCTCTGATGTAATATCCAAGGTCTGCCCGTTGTTAGTCTCAGGCCCCATGACAAGAGAAAAGGGGGAAGAGAATTAGCATATATTTAAGATTTGTTCAGTAATTTCACTTATCACAACCTGAGTGTGCTCAACTCTACCACATGGGGCTATTTGGAGTTTTAAATAATTTAATAGATATTAAACATTCAATATAAGGTCTGACACATATTAAGCACTTAATAAATGTTCACCATTTTCATTAAAGACCATAAATTTGGTGCTGTTAGTGTTCATCACTATAATGCTCTCAATACTTCTGGCTATTTTTGGTCTAGAGGGCTAGGGAATAAGTATTTTATTGGATATAATTAAATATCATTGTTTTAAATTGGCCTCTCCTTCTCTCGTTAGCAACCTCAATTGCCTTTTTTCCTCCAATTAAAACCTTGTTCTTTAGGATATTGAACTTCTGCAATAACACTGAGATGTCATACTTCTATAGAATTCAGAAATTAGCACATGTTATTTCTCTTAACAGATAATGTTTTTCTCTTTTATTCCCTTGCATAATTTCTATACATACTGTAAGATACATCTGA